TTAAAGGAAGAGAAGGGCCTAGAAGGTACAGGATACTTTGCCACCTTCTATGACCCTGAGACATTCATCCATGCTGTTCCCTTGAGTTTCCTCGAGAGTGTGATCCAGAGACACAGATCAACACACCTCAGCTGAGAGTTAGAGACATGGTGAACCTGGGGGTGTTGGCTCACATCTGTCTTCCCAGGACTTAGGAGGCTAACACAAGAGGGCTGCTATGAGTTCAAGACCAGCCTGAGCTATATATACAGTGAGTTCCAGGTCAGCCTAGGTGTAATACATATATATATATTTCTAGGCCAGTCTGGGCTATAGAGTGAGAGCCTGTCTTCAAAATGAAAGAAAATAGACAGAGAGACAAAACTACAGAGCCAGAGTCAGAAAAAAAGGTGTATGTGTATATGTATACGGGGGAAGGGGAGGGTGGTGATGGAGAAAAGGGATAGAAAAAAAATGGAGAGGAAGGGGACATAGATGGCACACACAGCAGAGAGAAGCAAACACCTTCATAGAATAGGGAAGAAGGAGCCCCCAAGAGCAATCTAGAGATTCAGGACCCTTAGATACTCCTGAGAAACCTTAGAGATGAGGCGCTAATCAAGTCTCTCAGGGCTTGGGGGAGCCCTAGGAAGATGGTACTACTGCCTCCTGTCCCCAATGCCGAGGCACTGCAGGTACCTGACCCTCAGGCACCACAGTCAAATAAGTCAGCCACTCACTGGTCACTGGAATTGATGGGTCCCCAAGTGAATGAAGGGCACTGAAGAGGGCAGGGAGGCTGTGAGTGTAGGAGGGGCCTAGGATGCACATAGTAGGGCATCAGGTTAGGTGTGCAAGGGTAGGCACATGAGACTTGGTGCTCAGGAATGGTTTGTGAGCCAGGTGGCATGTTGGGTGGCATGTTGGGTGACTTGTAAGTACATACATGTGGGTGGGTATGTCTACTTCCAAAAAAGCTCCAACTAAACAAAAAACCTTGCAGTGTTAGGAGTCCAAAGGACAAGGTGGTCCCCAGAGAGCCCAGTAAGAATCCTGAGTGAACAGAGCTGGTCACAAACAAAAGAGGTGGCAAACCTTTGTTTTCTGGGCAGACAGGATGTCCAGGTGCCACAGGGCACGCCACTACAGCCGAGAACAGCCATTTATCAGGAGTGATCCCAGCCATCAGCTAGCTGGCCCCCAACCTCAGGAAGAACCAGCTCCTCCCTGGATGCGGATGTAAAAAGCCGTGATGGGATGGGATGAGAGGGATAGGAAGCATGTTGGATATTCTATTCGGCCTTCTCTTCCTCTGATCTAGCTTTCATCCCTCTTGCTGCTGCACGAAAGCTGATTTCATTCTTGCTCCTTGGGAACAGAAAGTGCTACATCCTCACCATGCTGGGAAGAAAAACAAGCTCTCCTCAACATCCCTTCCCACTCAAGCATCACAGGACAGTAAAAAAAAAAATGTCCCAATTTTGAGTTAGAGAATGAGGTCAGGAAGCCCAAGGGGGGACTGCTTATTGGTGACAACTGACAATTTTCATTTCACCTTGAAACTCCTTGTCTAGACATGTGTGGCCCAAGCCCAGGTTTACGACTCTAACAGAGGAGAGGTGGATAGGGAGGGAGGTGACCAAATGGCACTTATGGTCACAGGCTCAGCCAGGTTCCCTGTCACCTTAGCGGGGTACAGAACAAGAGAACCACTAGTAGGCCACAGAGACAAGTGACAAGTCCCAATATCTTAAAGTTCTAATGGTATGGTGGCACGGGCCTCTGATCTCAGTTGTGTGATAAGCTGAGGCAGGAGAATTGCTTCAAGTTTAAGGCCAGCCTGAATAACTTTGTCAGACCTTGGCCCACAAAACAAACAAAACAAAACTCTCTGGGATATGACTCAGCTGTAGTGCACTTGTCTAGGGTTTGATTCCTAGTAATGAAAAATAAGAATAATATATATTTTATAGATCTTGTTAATGAAATGTCCATTTTTTTTTTTTTTTTTTTTTTTTTTTTTGGTGATAAGGTTCCATGTATCCTAGGCTAGCTTCAAACTCTATGGAACACAGGAAGAACTTCCGATCCTCCTGACTCCACCTACCAAACCTCCCAAGTTGTGGGATTGCAAGCATTTCCACCATACACCATACCTGGTTTTGTGCAGCGCTGGGGGCCTTGTGCATGCTTGACAAGCACTCTACCATCTGAGCTACAACCCTAGCCCCATGATCAAGAAATTATTTTCTAGCCTCCTGCCTTGACAACGATGCCTTCATGGCAACCTGGGAGACCAGGTTTACAATCAGATTTTTCTGCTTCCGGTGAGGTGAGTGTCACACTGGAGTATCAGTGTAGAGAGATGGCACCATTCTCTCCTCAGCTCCAGCCACCCCCACCCTTGCTACAGTCCCACAGCCAGGTCACCTCTGCACCACAAGGGCTAACCACACAGACACCTGGCCTCAGCTTGTTTCCAGCCACAGGGTCTGTAATGTACGCTAAGCAAGCATTCTACCAACTGAACTTTCTCTCCAGCCCTGAGAGTGTGGCCCTGATGTTCGGTCCCATTGACTCTTCTACACTTCACAGAAGGCATCCAGAGCAGAGCGCTTGAAAGCACCCAGCCTAGGGCCTGTGCCCTGTTTCCCTTGCCCAGATTTTAAGGGTGCTCATGGATTGGCAGTCTTTGGTGGCCACCAGAACTAGAGCCAGGTATGAGCTTGAAGCTCTCCCTCCCTCCACTGGAGGGCAGCTCGAACAATCCCCCCCCCCCCCCCCCGATTATTCCTCTTCCTGGAAAAATCCAGCCCAGTTTGATCCCAACTTGTGGATTTCTGGAGGCGGGGAAGGCAGGGTGACGCCCACAGGGAATTTTTATCGAGTTGGGTATCTAAGGCAGAGCTTGTTCCATTTAGGCACAGCCCCAAGTGGGCCCCAGCCGCTCCCCAGATCCTGCCTCACCCCGCAGTTGTAAGTCGACACAGCCAGGAGGAGGTGAGGGGTCTGGACAGCACAGAGACGGGACCCAGCAGGGGGCTGGGGCTGGTAGGGGAGGAGTGAAGGACATCTCTCTTTCTGGACAAGCTTTAAAAATTTTCCACCCCACCTCCACCCCCTGCAGATCGGCTTTGCTGTCCTACCCAGGAGGGGACACTTAGACCTGTTGAGCCATCACCAGGCGCCAGGGACCATGCTAAGCGCTCTTTGTGGTACTCTCATTAAATCCCTGCAGCTACCCTATGAGGTGGGTTCTAACCTTAACACCATTTTCTTTTCTTTTCTTTTTTTTTTTTTTTTTTGGTTTTTTCGAGACAGGGTTTCTCTGTGTAGCCCTGGCTGTCCTGGAACTCACTCTGTAGACCAGGCTGGTCTTGAACTCAGAAATCTGCCTGCCTCTGCCTCCCAAGTGCTGGGATTAAAGGCGTACACCACCACCGCCCAGCTTTTTTTTTTTTTTTTTCCTTAACCCCATTTTCAAGTAAGAAAGCAAGTACAGAGGTGGAGGACTCAGTGCTTCCTACCCTGAAGGTCATCTGCCTTACAGCTCACTGTCTCCCTGCAAGAAGCTCTTCCCAGAAGCAGAAAGGATGGTTGGAAATGAGCAAGGGCCAGTGATGTCGCCTTAGGTCAAGACGCTTGCTGTCAAGCCTGATGATCTGAGTTCAATTCCCTGGCATCCAAATCCAAATACATGGTGGAAAGCAAGAGCTGACTCTAGCAAATTGTCCTCTAACCTCCAACCACATGCAGATGTGTGCTACACACATATACACGGGCATAGTACACGAGGAAGAATTTGCTGACAATGGTGGTTGGTGTGGGAAGAAATCATGGAATGAAGAATCTAGATGATCCTTAAAATTCCTCTGCCCTAACGGTCTCTTCAGTCTGCCTAAAGGCTAGGGAAGACCTCTGGAAGGTTCCTGGAGTCCTGACTGGGATCAGGTAGGGGCATCCTTATCTGCCTCTGTTCCACATCCCAGGGGTCTTTGCTTTCCTTAAGCTGATCACAAGGTCTCAAGTTGCCTCTTTTTTTGTAACTCCAGGAGCCCAGCATCACAGCTAAGTTAGCTCAGATCATGTCGCCAAGAAAACCTTTCCTGGAGTTCTGGAAGGCAGAGGCACATCCTAAAGCCCAAATCCCACATAAGGGGGCACAGTTATCCCATGCCTGCCTTCATCCTCAGGGACTGACTCTGAAACACTAGGCAGAATCGACATGCTGGTCCTGGGCTCTCTGGATTCTGGCATTTCCTCACTCCCCACCTCCTCTCTCCATCTATAGCCAAATGCAAATGATGCAGATGACCCAGGGGCACCAGAAAACCCAAGTCCCACGCAGATAGGCATCAGCTGTCACCTCACTTGCCCCCAGAACAGAAACCCTTCGGTTCACTCCATCACTCCGAACCGCGAAGATATTACCCTGGGATCCATAAAGGACACTTGGGGTGACGAAGTCCCCCTCTCATCTGCTGCCCTTCGTAACACTGTTCTGTGTGATACCCGTTGCTGCTTTCCCCAGTCCTCGGACCTTGACATCATCCCATAAAGCCAGTGGCTCCCTCCAACTTCCTCAGAGTTTATTCGCACCAGCCTACAGAGCCCAGACAGAGTCGTCTCTGGGCGTCCCCTAGGTTTGAGACGGGCAGGGGACAGAAGGCTCTGCCTTGTCTTCCCGAGCTGCCCTCGAGGTCCTCAGTGTGCACCAGCCCTCGGTGCTTGTCTTACCTGCAAGGAGGAGATGGAGCCAGCGGTGGCCACCTGCTCTTGCCTGGTTTGCAGCGCAAAAGCTCTGGGCTCGCGGGCCGGGGCTGGCGGGCAGGGGGGGCGGGGACGAGCCGGGAGGGGCGGGGTCTCCAGTCCCACCCCAGTCCTGGAGGTGAGGAGTCCGTACGTACGCATTTTGAGGTTGTGAGTAGGCAGACAAACAGGGCCACTGAGAGTTCCGGTTTCTTTTTTTTCTTTCTCTTTCTTTCCCTTCCCTCCCCCTCTCATTTGTAGCCCAGGCTTACCCTGAGCTCTTGGTCCTCCAGCTTCCACCTCCATATGCTGGGATTACAAACATGCATGTGCCACCAATCATGCTTGCTCACGCCTGTGCATGCTCTCTCTTTCCTCCCTTCCCCCTTTCTTTCTTTTCTTTCTTTCTTTCTTTCTTTTTTTCTTTCTTCCTTCCTTCCTCTCTTTCATTCTTTTTCTTCCTTCCTGCTTCCTTTCATCCTCCTCCCCTTCCCTCCTCCTCCCCCCTCCCCCCTCCCCCTCCTCTCCCTCTTCTTTTTTTCCCCTAAGGCTAGAAAGGTTGCACTCAGGCCAGGCTTGAACTCAACCAACAGCAGTTTTTCCTCACCCTCCTAAGTGCCAAGACCACAGGCAATGAACCACCACACTTGAAAACTGGAGGGTTAGAAAGCTGGAGTCCTCCTGACCTTATACAATTCTGACAGTCTGGTCCAGATGTTCACAAGCCTGGCTCTATCAGAAAACCCCCAGGCCAAAGTAGCAACAAGAACAGATTTGCCTGAGCCTCCTTCCCCCGAGTCAGAGGCTCTCACAAAATTGAAGATGGGTGGAGACACCCCCCCCAGATCCCCCCAGACTCTGCCTAAAGGTCAATTCCCAGTCCAAGGGTCAACCATATAACGACTCAGCCTCTAGAGGGATATTGGGTGCCTGTCTTTTTCCTCTTTCCTTGCAACACAGGGCTCTCCTCCAAACCCCAAACCCCCTCACAGGTCCCTCAGCTGTCACTGTTTAGCACTGGAATGACAGGCGTCCAGACTCCGTGAGTCCAGCCACATTCAAGGCCATGGAGCTTAGCACTCTGTGCTCCCGCCCCCTCCTCCATCAGTCGCTAATTTTATTGACCCGTAAAAGGCACGTTCCTGGCTGGGGGTGGGGTGGGGGAACTAACTCAGGACACAGTGGGGCGTGAACAAGCAGAAAGCACCCATGAGATGACTCCTGAAGGGGCCAAGGACACTCTGAGAAAGAGATTTACCCTAGCTAAGATGGCTGCCCCAAAGAGTGGAAGTGAATGTTTAGCCTTAGCCAGAAAACACCGGGAGAAGAGAGAATTAATTCTATGCACTTTTGAGGCAGGGCAAGGATGAAGCAGAAAAGATACAGGTTGGATAACAGGAAGAACTGTTATCCTTCTGTCAAATCTCTGCCCTAACCCTTTCCTCCCCCCCTGAAGGTGACTTGTGCCTGCTGGGCCTCTTACTACAGAAATAGCCCTTTCCCTGAAGAATCAACCTAGATCTTGCCTCTATTAAAATCAGAACAAAAAATTAGGCCTCTCCCTACTCCATGCCTACCTGCCTCCAGCCCTCAAATGCTGGCTGTCAGGCTCTCTTCTCCCCAAGTGAAAAGTGGGGACGAGGGGGACAGAGGGGTTAGAATCTGTCATAGGATGGAGAGGACACAAGGACTTTACATTCTTGAAAAGCCTCAAATTGAAGCGTTTTAGATCCAGGAATGGAACCCTTAACCTCTTTCCTGGTAGGTGTGTTCTCTGCCTGTGAACCGTGTCTTGGGTACCTCAGATTTATCCTGCTGATGATCTATATGAGAGTTGGACAGACACGAAAGACATCTTTCTTTCTTTCTTTCTTTCTTTCTTTCTTTCTTTCTTTCTTTTTTTTGAGACAATCCTATGCACACCTCAAACTTACTATGTAGCCAAGCCTGGCCTTGAACTTACCTTAGCTACAGTTATTATTCATTGTGTACGTGTGTATGTGCACATGAGTACACTAGGGTGCCTGTGAGGAGGCCAGAGAGACAACTTGGTGGTCCTTATCTTCCACCAAGTTGGTCCTGGGGATTGAACTCAGTCAGTCAGGTTTGTAGGCAATACTTTAGCCAATGAATGATCTCATCAGAGCATCCTCCTGTCTCTATCCCTGCAGTGCTTGGATTCCACGCAGGCACTACCCATGTTGGCCTATGCAGTTCTGGGCATCAAACCCTGGGCTTTGCACATGGTAAGCAAGCACTCTAACAACTGAGCTTCATCTCTAGTCCCAAGGGTAATATTTGAACATTAAAAATTACCCAAGCAAGGCTGGAGAGATGGATCAGTGGTTAAGAGCACTTGAATGCTCTTCCAGATGTCCTGAGTTCAATTCCCAGCAACCACATGGTGACTTACAACCATCTGTAATGGGATCTGATTCCCCATTCTGATGTGCATGAAAACAGAGTACTCATGTACATAAAATACATGAATAAACAAATCTTTAAAAAAAAATGAAAATTGAATTGTTTACCGGGCAGTGGTGTTGCATGCCTTTAATCCCAGCACTTGGGAGGCAGAGGCAGGTGGATTTCTGAGTTTGAGGCTAGCCTGGTCTACAGAGTGAGTTCCAGGACAGCTAGGGCTATACAGAGAAACTGTCTCAAAAAAAAAAAAAATTTACCCAAGCAGATAAGTGTTTGGGGAGGGGTACAAGATAGGGCTTCCGGTGGGAACAAAGACACTTGCGAAGCTCTGTCTCTATCTTGACTAGAAGGAGGCGTGGCACATTAATGAGGTTTATTTTCCATCAATTACACTTCAAAATAAAGATGGTTACATATTCTCTACCAGATTTTTAATTTATGAAGAGCCTCAAAAAGAAAAAGAGAAAAAACCAAAAGGTTCTTGGGCAAGGGAGGGATGTTATGGTTCCTAGTACAGCAGAGCATGCCAGTTCTCCTGCATCCAACTTCCAACTCCATCCAATGTGTTTAAGATCTCTGGAGCAGAAGAAAGGGGTAGCCAGACGACCCAGAACCAGAGCGATAGCCAGGGGAAGGAGGCTGGCTTGCTGGCCTCTGCTGCCCCCTGCAGTTTGACCTAGGTACAGGTACTGCAGCCACAAGGGGTCAGTCCAGAGAGAGATCAGATAGGCTTTGGGTGCAATCCTGCAGGATGTCGAAGTCAGGTATTGAGAAAGGCACCCGGGACCACTTTTTGGCCTGGATCTTCCCGTGAGGGGTCTCCAGTAGCATGCTTCCAATTTTGAGCACCGGCAAGGTCACTGATTTGTAGATCATCTGGAAGCCCCAGACCTGGTGTGGTAGAACAGATAGAAGCATGTGGCTTTCTGTCCTCAAGCTGGATTTCTGTGATGACCAGCCCTGTATCTACCACCAGAGGCCATTGTGCAGTGGGCTCCCTAAGACAGGACTATAATGAAAATTTTGGTTTCTTTAAAAACACAGACATATGAGAATGTCTTTTTTGTTTGTGTGTGTGTTTGTTTGTTTTTGTTTTTTCTTTTTCAAGACAGGGTTTCTCTGTGTAGCCTTGGCTGTCCTGGAACTCACTCTGTAGACCAGGCTGGCCTTGAACTCAGAAATCTGCCTGCCTCTGCCTCCCAAGTGCTGGGATTAAAGGTGTGCGCCACCACTGTCTTAATTTTAACCCCAGGTGTGCAATATGGATTCGAATTGTTTGCAGCAGCTGACTATGATTTGCTTCGTGCTCTAGCAGGGACGTGGTTTTGACAGCTGCAGATAGTTTCTGCAGCTCTGTGACGTTTGGAATTCTGGGGACCCTTCAGAGGGTATAGAAATGCTAGCGCACAGATAGAAGGGGCTGGTTGGCTGGTTGGTGGTTGGATGATGTTGGTTGCATTGTATACAGAGAGACAAAAAGAAAAAAATTAGATATCCTGACACTGAAGATCAAACTGGCCCCAAGGAACTCCATGCCCCTAATCAGCAGGAAGTAGTCTACCAATAATGTCACCCCCTTTCCCCTTCTATCCTTTTTTCTCTCCTACCTAGGGTTAAGGGGTTGAAAGGGTGGATAAAGGAGTGGAAAGGGTGGAAGAAAAAGGAACCCACAAAATAATAAAAAGTCAAGCTACACGGGACTACAGCACAGACTGCGGGTCCCCCACAGCAGGCATGATTCCCAACTGGGGTAAGGGCTTGAAGGCGCAGCTAGGCCTCCTTTCTCAAATCAAGGGCCTCTGGAGTCTGGGGCTGAGGGCTCTTTGCCTTGGGCTATAACCCCTTACTTACCTCCCCACAGTTACTGCATCTGATGGTTCCTCCAGGTTTCCAGTCTTTAAAGACCTTGTTAATGGCCACAGGCTTCTGGGAGGTGGTATAATAGACTCTAGAAATAGATAAAAGTAGACAGAGCCCTTCTGGAGCCCCTGAACCCTAGACTCCATGCCCTATAGCTGGCCAAGTCCCTGTCAAGACATCTGGCCTTTCTGCCTGGTCAAGATACAGAATTTCCCAGAATCAGGAAGTCTAGACCTCAGAAGGATCGGCCTGCCTTGTCCACAGCCTGTTCCTGCATCCAAAGAACATCCTTGGATCCTGAGTTCCATCCCTTCTCCTACCTAGATGAAATGGTCTCTAAGATAGAGCCAGCGTGAGGAACTTTAGCACTGTGGCTTGACACACAGAGGTGTCTAATAAATAGTTACTTAATGAATGTTTGGGGGCAGGACGGGGTTGGCTCAGCAGGAGAGGGAGAGCTAGACCTGTATAAATTTTGTGTGTGGGGCACCACCATGCTCCTGTGGAGGTCAGAAGAGAATTTTAAGGAGTCTCTTTCCTTCTACTATGGGATGTGGGAATCAAGCTCAGGCCATCTGGATTTTGAGACAGGATCTCATGTAGCTCACGATGGCCTCTAGCTCGCTATGTACCTGAAGGTAACCATGACCCGATTGCTGATCCTACTGCCTCTGTCCCCTAAGTGCTGGATTCCAGGTGTGGACCACACTCAGTTGCTTGGGATCCAACCCAGGGCTTTGTGCATTCTAGATAAGCATTCTACCATCTGAGCATCACCCTAACTCTCCCCTCCCCACTTTTCTCTTTTTCTTATTTATTTGTTTGTTTATTTATTTATTTATTTATTTATTGAGACAAGGTCTCTCTATGTAGCCCTGGCTATCCTGAAACTCACAATGAAGATCAGGTCCCTTCTCTTTTTGAGTCCAGCCTGGCCTGGAATCTCTGTGTAGCCAAAGGTGACATCTTGAGCTCTTATCTCCCAGGTACCTCAACTACAAGCACATGAAGCACCACGTACCATACCCAGCAGCTCCAGTTTTTTTTTTTTTTCTTTTGAGATGGAGGCCTTTCTGTTATCCTGGCTGACTCTGACCTCCCAGACTCAA